AGCTTCCTCTGGGATGAAGGAGGGAAGGAAGGCAGCAGAGCTTCCTCCGGCCCTGCCTGCCTGGGGCCACAACCCTGGGGAAGGGACTCAAGCAAAGCAAATCCTGCCTCCTGCTCAGGGCCATGGATCACCAGAGGGGCAGTTTGGAGCCACCTGGGGCCTCTGCTCCAAAAAACAGGACTCTCCCTAAAAGGTTCCAAGAGGTGGAGGTGAGGCAGGACACGGGGTGAAGAGATGACCTCCAGAAAAGCAGCAAGTGAGGCTGAGCCTCCAGCAGCACCTTCTCTGGAAGGTCTGCAGCCAACCAAGCAACTGCCACCTCCTCTGGCAAAGCAGCTCCAGGAAGCCAAGGGTCCTCCACTGGCTATGGAGCCTTCCCCCCCTTCCATGGGATAACGAGACAACCTAATTCATCCCTTCCATGACCTGGGAGTTGGCCCACTGTGCCCTCAGTGCCCCGATGCCTGCTCTCTGTTCAGCCTGGTAAAGCTTTGGGTGGGCACAGCTCTGAGGTTCCTCAGCAGTTCACTGGAGCTGCTACTCCAAGGCTGAAGGACTATTTAACCCAACAGCACAGAAAAGCCAGAATGGGCAGAAATCCCTCTGCTCTCGATGGCAGGAGCCATAAAACCCTGGCAAAGCTCTCACCAAGAGTTTCACACCTGATCAAGAGCAGCAGAGAGGCCTCTCTTAAGATTCCCCAGGAAGGAGCCACATTTCTCACAACCATGGGTTTTTTTTTTCCCCCACCACCTTTTCACTGCCAGTTCACCTCCACCTTAGTAGAAAAATCAGAATCTTTTCCATCCAGCAAAGTTACAAACAAGTCACCTTCATTTCTCATCTACCAATCTGGAAACAGAGAGAGAAAAGTGTGTGTGGACACTCAGAGGAGGAGCTGGAAAGGTCAGGTACCATTTTTCAAGGTGGAAGACTGGTGCACATCTCTCAACCTGCGAGTAAACACCTTCCCCTGGCTGGGTTTTGTTGTTTATTTCTTAGTTTTTGCACTGGAGTGCTGACTGCCCCCACTTCCCACTGCAGAGTTCCTGGGGGCAAATCCCACGAGCAAAGAACAAACCCCAACGTTAGAAGAAAACCCCAAAAAACCACAAGTGGAAAAAAAACCCAAATAAAATAAAAGTCACAAGTGCAGCCCAGCCCTCGGGCTGAGGGTGGGCACGTAAGACTACACCAACTCGAATTTCCTTTGATCATGCATTTTGCAAAGTGAAAACCCCCAACAGACAGAGACGCCTGGAGCCCAACTCTTGGAGAGGAAAGAACCTGGCTGCTTCACCCGGGCGAGTACCACTGAAAACGAGGGATGGAGATGGCACAATTTTTTTGGCTTAGCCTCTCTCCCCAACACCCAGCATCGTGGTACTCTGGTTCATGGTAAAAAAAAAAAAAAAAAAAAACCCAAAAAACCAACAAAACGAAAAGAAGGAAAACAAATAAACCTCCCCCCCGAAAAAAACCCACCCCAATGATATACGTATGAGCAGTTTGACACGAGGTGTGAGCAGTTACTGGTGCCGACGTCACACCGGGCGAGGGGCTGAGGCGGAGGAGGAGGAGGAGGAGGGGAGGGTTCCAAGTTCTAAGGTCAAACCGATGTCTCCAGGCTGTGGAAGGGGCTCTCGGGCTCCGGGACGGAGAGCTCAGCTCGATCGCTGTCCACTGCATTGTTATTTCTGTTCAGGGCTGGAGGCCCGCCCGGGCTGCCCCCGCCGCGCGTCGGGAGCCCGTCAGTCTCGGGGTCGTCTTCAGCGCCGTCAAGGAATGGTGTTCGAGGCTCGTCTTCCTCCAGGATGAACTCTGGGTGAGTCATGAAGTTATGGATGGAGCTTCTGGATTCGGGTTTCTCGAGGCCTTCGTACAGGGAGCTACGGAACGCATTCACCACCTTGATCTGCCGGGAGCGCGGGGAGGGGGCAAAAGAGACGGGTTAGTCACGGCTCTGGGGGGGCCAGAGAGCCCGGGAGAGAGGCCAAATAAAGAGTGAGGACACGGTAAAAAACGAAAAAGCACGACCACGACAACAAGTCACCACCACTGAGCACAAAGCTGGGTCAAACTGAGAGGTCTATGGTGAACTAGGAGGGCCAACATGGATCAGACTCAGGCACTGGGTGTGTGATGGGGGGATCGACCGACTACGGGGCGACTTCAGAAGCTGCAAGAAAAGACACAAAACGACTCAACCCCCCCCCAGATCGCTCCGAATGGATGGAAGCCAAAATGCATTAGTTGTCATTACGTGTGCACACGCGCTTCGTGGGGATGGACGAGGACAACAGGGTGGAACTACGACTCAAAAAAGAGGTGGGTTAGACAAACAGCGGGTTCAAAACACTCTACCGTGGGAGCCATGGGTGTGTTTGTTCTAGTTCACTGCTAGACCTGGGGAAAGGAATGGGCTTTAAAAAGGTGTCACCAACTTTTCAAGCCCATGGGAAGCACCAGATCCAAGTGGATGCCACGATCAGCTAACCCAGCTAAGCGTGCATGAAGGAAGCCAGATCTGTGTGAGGTTCCCCACACAGCTGGAGCTCTGGATCCTTCCCTACACCAACAGACCCAGTGGTTTCCAAAGGCAGCTAATTCTGTTGGATGTTCTGCAGGAAAACCACTCTCTTTGCTCAGAATCCCAGCCACACTCCTGAGAAACCCACGGGGCAGCTCCCCCAAAAGCCAACCTGTTACAAGCAGGAGATCCAGAGCCTGGTTTGGACAAGCAGGGAATGGTTCTGCTGCCTCCACTGCACTGGAAGGGAGAGGTCTGGAAACAAGCCTGGATGGTGGCTTGCAGTGGATTCACTGCTCCCTCCAGACCCTCTGGAAATCCAGCCTTGACCCTTCCAGCTCTCGCCCTCCCTTGCAGTTGTTAGGTCAGATCCAAGTATCAGATCCAAGGTCTCGTGAGGTTTATGGAAGCAACAGAAGCCTTTGCTCTGTTAATCAGAGTTCATCTGGGACCAGGAGATCTGCTCAACTCCTCCTGTCCCAAGGAAATGCCTCCAGACCACTGTGAGACCTTGTTCAGCCCCACTGGGAGCAGCAGGGCCATCGATGACGCCTCCTTGGAGCAGTGCCAGTCATCCTGCTCCATCTCCTGCTCCATGGAAGGAGCACTGCTGCTCATCAGCCACCTTCACCTGCTCCCAGCACCTGAGGAACCCAGTCCCCACCCCATCCCAGCCCCCTGCCTGCTCTCCCAGTGTCCCTGTGGGCTGAAGCTGGGACACAAAAGGGAGGAGATCCACAGATCCCACGGAAGGGGTGGGGGAGCAGCATCCCTGTGCTACATCCCAGAGCTTCCCCATCACTCAGCCACTGGCCAAGGGAGTGGAGAACGTGCAGAGCTGGAGGGAGAAGGATCCAGGTACCCCCTTTCTGATGAGGCAAATGAGGAGCCATGTGTGTTCTGCCCCCCCTCTGACCAGGCTGCAGGATGGGGGGGGAGCAGAGCCCACACCCCACGTCCTGCTGAGATGAGCTGGGTTTAACTGCCCACCTCAGCGTGGTGCCCAGCCAGGCCAGGAGGGAGCTCACCAACCAGCACAGCCAGCAAGAGCCTCCTGGGGATCTCTGCTCTCAGCACCAGCAGAACTCACCAAACCAGACCAGAGAGGTTCCTCAAAGAGCCTCGTGCCTGGGGAGTTTGACCTGCAAGGTGTTCCAGGGCTCCTCTCACAGGGGATGCCTTTCTGAGTCCCCTCTGCACCTGGCTCAGAAGGATGGTGCTGCACCATGAGAGTGGCATCCCTGGGCACAGGCTGGAAACAACTCCCCCAGCTCTTGCACACACACACACACGGACCAGCACACACACATGAGCTGGAGACACTGATGAGGAGATGATGGTACCCCCTGGTGCTGGAGCACCAGCTGCCCTGCAAAAATGGAAGGTTGGTGGAGCTGGAAACAGAAATTCCGAGCTGGGTTTGCTGCAGTAACACCACAGGAAGAGCCTGGGTGAGGTCAGTGGGAGTGCACAGGACCACACAGGCCACCTCCAATCTGTCACATCACCAGTACCTTGAGAACAGCACCTGCAATCCCTGACCCCTGAAATGCAGAGTGCACTGAATCAAGTATAACCAACCCAAACAGGCCAAGGAGAGCCCAGGGACTGCCAAAGCAACGAGGTGCTCAGCCCAGCACAGAGGCAGGAGCAGCTCCCAAGGAGCTCTCCCTGCCCCACTACCTCAAGTCCTGGAGCCCAGCCTGTCTCTGCCCCCTCACTGCCTGCAGCTCCACCATGGAGCTTCTGCTGCAGCTTTGCTCAGATTTTCCTCCTTCAACCATCTCTGTCAGCAGCTGCTGTGAAATGAATTCAGCTGTTCCCTTGTCAAAGGAACAGAACAGCAAGGAAATGTGTTCTGAATGAGCCAGGCAGTGCAAACAAAACCCAAACCCTCCCCTTCCAAGCTGGAAGCCCACCTCCCTCCCTGCTCACGCCTCCTCTCCACCTGGAACCTTCACACAACCTCCAGGCTTGGAATTTACTCTCATTTCACACCAGCCCTGCAGCACCACGACGTGCTGGGCAAACCCCCCTGCTCCCATGGAGATGGGAGTTACATCCTCTGCACGAGGCCAGAATCAGCCCCACTGCCGACCCCTGGCTGTCCCCAGCACCCTCACTCCGGGGCAAAATTCCCAGGGAGAGCAGCCCAGCTCTGCAAACCATCTCCAGAGGGTCATTCCCTGCCTTTCCACCAGCCCAGGAGGGACACAGCAGCGAGGCTGCCGAGGTCCAGCCCTGGAGAACTCATCCCTGGGAGTGCAGTGGGAGGCAGAGGGACACCATGGATCTGTGTGGAGGGAAGAGGAGCTTTGGGAGAGAGGGAAGCAGCAGAGGGAAACAGAGAAGTCCAGGCAGAAAACAGAGGCAAGACTTGGAGACCTGGGTTAGCTCCTGGTGGATTTGCTGCCTGGAAGGGCACGAGCTATCCAGGTTATCTATTCCCTTGCTGCAAATCTGGGGAGGGAATTAATGCACAGACTGCAAAAAAACCTGCATTTTGGTCTTGCCTCCCCCACAGCCCATTACCCTGAGCCCCCCTAAGCAGCTTTTCTCCCATTAGAAAGTCTCGGTGGTGCCCAGATGCAGGCGGGAGCAGAGAGGCAGCTGTGCTGCTTCAGAAACACAGGGGTTAAACACAATCAAATCCAAGCACCAGAGTCAGCTAAACAGAGAGAAAACAAAATTATCCGAAATTCTCTCTCCTCCCCCACAGTGCATAAACAGTGGAGACTGAAAGCTATTCAGAAAGTCACTGAGGATATTTCTCTAATAAGAGGAGAACACGGAAAGTGACTGTGCAGTAAAAAAGCCAATTATCCAGGAAAGACACACAACCTACTCCCAGCCTGGCACAGCCTGCAGAGAGAACTCACATTCATGTGCTCCCCCAGCCCGGACACGCAGCTCCCCACGAGCACAGAGAGGGGCTCTGCACCAGGCAGGGATTATTTTGGCCTGGAAACCCACTGCTAGATCCAGGATCCAGCTTTCCCACTGGAAAAATCAGTGGTTTCCATCCCGTTTGCGTGCACAGCGCCGTGTCTGCACACACTGAGGACCAGCGTGTGCAGGACAAGGTGGGTGCTGAGGATGCTCTGGCTGCCAGGGGACCAGCAGAGCCCTGGGCTGTCCCCACGGAGCCCCAGGGCAGCACAGGGCACACTCAGCTCTGTCCCACGTGCCATGCAAGCCCCCAGGGGGGACACAGAGGCTGCTTGCTTCCAAAGCAGCTCTGAACCAGGGGAGCAGCCCTGAGGTGTCACCACGGGCCAGCTGAGCCACGGTCAGGGCTGTTCACAGTCCAACCAACCTCCCTCCCACCCACAGCAGGAGCAAATCCTGCTCCTCACAGGCCCTCCCCACGGCTCAGCCAGCCCTGCAGCACACTGGGGGAAGGTCCCAGTGGCCACTCTGCCTCCAAACAGATTTATAGCTGCAGGAAAGCAATGCCTCTGCCCACCCCTGCCCTTCTGGGGCGTCCCGGGGCTGGGCAGAGCCGTGGTGGAAAGAACCAGCAGAGTTTGGGCTCGGTGTTGCCCCTCTCACAGCAGTGCTTTCAGCTCATGAACACAGGGCTCTTTGAACAAGAGCTGCCAATTTTTGCACCCCTCGGGAGGGTGGACTCAAACGTCAGCCCTGCAAAGGAGGAGAAGAGGTAAAAAACGGAGGAAGCAACAAGGACTGGGGGGGGGAAGGACCAGAAAGGTCAACTCGTTAAAGGTGCAACAAAAGCATCAAAACCATGGTTTTTTTAACGCTTTCCCGCCCCATCCTTCATGTTGGGAACCAGTGTGCGAGTCAGGGTTTAGAGGGAGAGAGAACAGGCCGGGTTAGGTGGGTGCAGGTGCTCTCTGTGGTTATTAGAAGTCATGCATTGTAATAGACTATCACTCACTGCCCGCAGGAGGAGATGCAGCAGCAGCAGCAACAGCAGAAGTGGTGGGAGTGGAATTGACGGAGGAAAGAGCTACATGGGTTGGGCTAGAAACATTTTTTACATCGTGGTGCTGGCTCACGATGGAAGGCTGTCTCCTGAGGGCTCCCTGCAAAGAGGAGGCGCCGGTCTGGAATGTGTAAACTACGTCCATCTGCAAAGAACCAGAGAGTGAGATAGCGTCGCCCGGGCAGGGACAGGGGCAGGGGCAGGGAGGGAGGGGAGCAGGGGGGTCGGGCAGACACACACAGACAGGAAGGAAGAAGGAGGATGGACAGGTGGGAAGGAGGGAGGAGAGAGCCCCCCACCCCGTAAGCCCCCACCGGGTTGGGCTGGTGATCCGGGGAGCAGAGGGGTCACCTTCCAGCCTCTGCCCCTCCCACGGGAGCGAGAGCAGCAGGAGTTACCCCCCCACCACCAGAGAGACAGTGGTGGGAGGGAGTGACAGAGGAAACACCTTGGGTTATCCCAGCAATCTGCAGCAGGAGCAGAGGAAGAGAGAGGGTGGGCAGAGGTGCGAGCTGGCAGCTGGTGGGTCCAGAAAACTGCACTGGCAAAGGGTTTGTGGTCCCTCGGCCCCGTGGGGTGTTCAGCTGGGGGGGCTGAATCGTGGCACACACCATGTGCCCACAGCTGGAGACATTTCAGCCCCTCTCCCAGGCTCAGGGCTCTGGAGCAGAGCTGGAGGGGGCAGGAATGCAGCAAGAAGTATCCTTGGTGGTGGGGCCACAGTTCTGTGGATGTGCTCCAAGGGCAGAGGAACCAGGCAGGATCCAGGTGCCACCTTGGCTTCCTGGACACTTTGCAGCTGGAGTGTCCCCAGCCCTGTGCAGGGAGCACAGCTCCTGTGGCAGGGACACCTCCTCCAGACCCACGTGAAGCTCTGGCTCACGATGGAGGGACTTCACACACAGCTTCGCTCCTTCCCCAGTTTGATGCCCCTCTTTTCCCCAGTGCCCCAGGCTGGGCTGAGGGGATGAGCCCTGTGCTCTCATTCAGACACACTGAGTGGGGACAGAAGCCCCCAGATGCTCAGGCTGGACCTGCCTGCTCTGCTCAAGGGCACCACAGCCAGGAAAGGAGTCCCTAAAGAGGCTCCAGGATGTGCATCCAGGAGCGTTTCTCATGTTGCAAGAGCAAGGGCTCATCTCAGCCCAGGTCCACCACACCTGGGAGGCTCCAGGCTCACCTGGCTGCTGGCACTGCAGCCCTTTGCACCTCCTAGACCTCCAACACAGCTGGACTGCTTCCAAAAGAGCCTGGAGCTGCCAGTACATCCTTCATGTGAGGGAACCACTGGTTTCCAGCACTGACCAGGCTCCCCAAAGAGCCCCTCACTGCTCACAACGAGCAGGGAGTCAAGTTTGAGCTCCACCTTGAAAGCATCAAGAAGGCAACATCTCCCAGAGGAGAAGGAAAGTTCCTGTGGCACAGCCCAGCTGCTGTGCTGCCCCAGCCCCTGTCTTGGGGCCTTTTTGGCTTTCTCTGTCTGTCAGAGGGACAGAGAGGAGGCACAAAGGTAGCCCAGCAGCCCTGTGTGCCAGGGACACTGGGACATGGAGCTCTCCTCCCTGGGACAGCTCTGCCCAGGCCTCCAGGAAAGGTGAGGCTCTTTGACCCTGCCCTGCCCAGTCTGGGGCAAAAAACCACCCTTTCAGGAAAAAAAGGGTGTCAGGGAAAAACAGCTGATGTAAAAAGCATATTAAGAGAGAGATTCTCCTCCCCTTCTGTGCCGTGGGGCCAAGAGCTCCTGGTGAGGAGCACAGAGAGCTGGCACAGAGAGGTGGCAGCAGCCAAGGGGCTGTCAGGAAGAAAAGAGCAGAGAGGGTCTCGTGCAGAATGAGCACATCCCTCACTGGGAACAGCATCCCAGCAGTGACCAAGAGCAGCTCCAGTGCTGACCCACTGCATGACAGAGCCTGGGTGGCTCCACGGACCCCCCACACCTTCCGAGCCACCTCCTCTGCTGCACGAGGTGCCCAGCAGGGGCACGTCCAGCCTCCTGCAGACCAGCAGGACATGGTGCTCTGCATCAGAGCAGCCTCCCCCCACCCTGAGATGTCCCCAAGGCCAGGCTGTCCTGGTTCCCCAACCAGGACAGACCCAGAGAGGCACAGGTGGTGGGAGAAGTCTGGCCCAGGAGGTGATGGCATCCTCCGGGCAGCAGCAGTCACCTCTTTCCAGAAAGATCCCCTGGAGGGAAAGAAGGAGAAAGAGAGAAGGAAGAGCCCCCCCAGTCCCTGCTGCCCCCCTGTACCTGTGTCTGTATCCTGTTGAGACCCCTGAACCACAGGATCTGCCCACGCCGCAGCTCCATCTCGGCGTGGTCGATCTCGTCCACGTCTTCAGGCAGCTCCTCCTCTGGGATCTCCTCCTTGGTGATGCCGTGCCCAGCTTCCTTCAGGAACTTCAGGTGGCTGGTTGGGACAGTGCAGATCAGCTGGGGAGAGACAGGGAGAGCAGCTCCTTAGCCTGAGGCCATGGGAGCAGGAGCCCACCAGCCAAGGGGAGCATGAGCTGCCCAGACCCAGCTGAGACACACTGGGATGCAGCTGAGACATGTCACTGCTGGATGTGTCCCTCTGGAAGCAGGATGGGAGTGAGGAGTGGATTAGCAACCTCCCCTCCTCGCTGCTGGTGTGGGATGGAGCATCACCCCCTCCCAAAGCTGCCTTGAATAAATACTGGGGAGAACAAGGGCAGGGAGGCAGCGGGAGGGAAAGATACGGGGCAGGTTTGGGACACTGGCTCTTACCTGGCCCCACAGGAGCTCCCCAACTCCGATAAAAATACACCAGAACCACTGGCTCAGGGTGAGCCCAGAGCAGCTGAAAGGCTTCCCACCAAACTCCACGATGACAATCTACAGCACAGGAGAGAAGAGTCACACACTGGGGAGCTCCAAGGGCTGCAGGGCACAGCCATGGCACGAGAAGGTCCCCTCAGGCCACACAGCTTTTCCCTCCTCCCTGGGATTACAAGGGGAACAAGGACCTCACATCGAGGCTGGGAAGTTTATGGGACACCAGAGGTACCTCCCAACACACTCTAGACCTCAAATCACAGAATCACAGAATGGTCTGGTTTGAAAGGGATCTTAAAGACGATCCAGTTTGAACCCCTTCCACCAGACCAGGTTGCTCAGAGCTCCATTCAACCCGGCCTTAAACACTGCCAGGGATGGTCCAGGTTTTTTTGTCACCAAGAAGCAGCTGGAGAAGAACCAGGGGCCAGGACAGAGCTGTGGGCTCTGACTGCAGCAGACACGGGTCCTGCCCGCGGCACCGGCCCCTCCCGGCCCCGACACCCCATTGCCACGCTGCCCCCGCAGCCTCACCTGGGCTGCAAAGGTGCCCAGCACCACGGTGCAGAAGATGGGGTTGCGGTAGATGGACTCGAAGACGTTCCTCTCGCCGTGGATCTTGCGGGCGTTGATCTCGTTGAAGAGCTGCATCATGACGAAGGTGTTGAAGACGATGGTGTAGTGCTCGGTGGGCGGCGAGTGCAGCGGCGCGTTCCGGCCACTGTCGATGTCAAAGAACTTCTCCCCTGAGCACACAAGGGGGTTTGGGGAGGGGAAGAGAGAGGAGAGGCTGAGACCCTGCTCCTCACTTCTGCTCTGCGCTGGTGGAGGTGGAATTAGGACCCCAGGATCACCGGAGATCCTTTGACCCGGCTGGAGCCCCCTGTGCCGCCCCCACTGAACCCTGAATTCCTTAGGAATGTTGAAAAGCCAAAACTGTCTGTGCACCCAGAGGTCTCCAGAGCAAAAATTCCTCTTCACATCATCCCTCTGCTTCCCACCCATCATTAAACAAGCCCCATCCTGGCCAACACGGGGTCACTGAGCGACAGCTGAGACCGAGGGTCCCCTTGGGGAGGAACGGTGCACTGCAGGCAGGGCTGGGGCTCTGCCCCTTTCCCTTTCCCCCCACCATTCCTCGGGGCTCAAAGCTCACCTGCAAAGAGCAGTGTGAAGATGATGGTGAGCTGGTACACGGCGTGGCCCAGGATGTTCTTCATCATGGTGCGGGAGATGAGCGGCTTGTTGCGGCCGTAGGGCTTGCGCAGCAGCAGGGACTCAGAGGGGGGCTCTGTGGCCAGGGCCAAGGAGGCGAAGGTGTCCATGATCAGGTTCACCCACAGCATCTGCACAGCCTTCAGGGGGGAGTCCTGCAGAGAGAAGAGTGGGGAGAACACATCACACCCCCGAAAGCACCCTCTTTTCCCTCCTTGCTCTGCAGGAGCCTCTGCCCTCCTCCTGAAATCCTCTCCAGGACATTTAACACCTCCCCGAAAACACCCCCAAAGCATTTCTCATCTGCTCAAAGCTCCCTACACGGGCTCACAAGGCTCTGCCCAGCACCTGGCTCCTGCTCACAGTCCACAGATAACCTTTTAAATCCCTCAACCCTCCTGCCCTGTCCCCGCACCTGGGTGATGCAGGCGCCCGTGAAGGCCACGATGACGGCCACGACGTTCACAGTCAGCTGGAACTGCAGGAACTTGGAGATGCTGTCGTAGACGTTGCGGCCCCACATGACGGCCTTGACGATGCTGGTGAAGTTGTCGTCCGTGAGGATGATGTCCGAGGCCTCCTTGGCCACGTCCGTGCCTGCGATGCCCTTGGGGAGCGGGGAGAAGCGGTGGGGTGAGTCACGGAGACAGGCTCTGTCTGCCTGGCTCTGCTTCTTCCCAGAAACAGCCCCCAAAAGGAAAATCCAACAGAGCCAGAGCAGCCGGTGCCAGCCCGCGTTCGCCAACGCGCTCGGGAGAGCGGAGCTCCAAAGCAGCAAAGCCTCCAAGGACAGACACCGGCTCAGCTCCAGGGCTCTGAGTCAGCCCTCCCTTCCAGCCTGTGCCTGTGCACGTCCCAGACAGGGCCACGGTGCAGCAAAGCTGGAAAACGGCTTCCTCCTCCTGCCAGGGAACACGGGCATCCCAGGCTGGGCATCTCTGCTATATGCAAGGGTTGGGATCCCAAACGAAGGAGAGGTCAGCAGCTCGAAATCCCGGTGCCTTCTGCCCCAGCTGGGGTGACGGCAGCCCCCCAGCCTCCCAAAAACCACCGGCAGCGTCTCCAAGGACACGGAGCCGGCCGGGCGCTGGGCTGGCTGTGATTCCCACCACGGGCACACTGAGGCGCTCGTCCTGCAGCCATTAAATGCGCCAAAGCCACGGCCTTAATGAGCCCATTCCCTGGTGCTTTCCCAGAGGAATTCTCCTGGGATTTGCCAGACCCCATCCCATCTCAGATCAGGCTGTTGAAGGGCACAAGCTCCAGAGGCACAGTCGCCTACTTTCTACTGCTCAACCAAAAGGCTCCAGAATTTCCTTAGATATTTAACACATTCCTAAAAACACTCCCCCAAAATTTCTCACTTGTTCAAAGCTCACAAGGCTCCACCCAACACCTGGCTCCCACTCACATCCCTAAACTTCAGACAATCCACGGGAAACCTGCTAAAAACAACAGGTTTGTTTTCCTGCTTCTTTCAGACAGGGCGAAAAAGAGCAGCAAACCAGGAGATCAGAGCTCTCCACTGTGAGCAAACCCCCAAAGCCAGTGCCAGCACCGTGCTTGGAGCTGGGGTGAAGAACTGCAGGGACAAACTGGGCAGGTCCCTGCTCTGGGGGCTCTGCAAGTGCAGTGTCACCTTCAGCCCAACAAGGTCCCTCCAGGTGGGACAGAGCCCAGCCCCAAGCCAGGCTCCCAGGGAATGACTTCCCAATCCCTTGCTAACAGGTCAATACAATACATGAAAACTAAATCAAACCTCCAGATGAGGTTTCTTTCTTAGCTTTTATGCCGTCCTGTAGATTTGGAAAAGAGTTTCACCGGTCCGGAAATGATTTCAATGTTAGGAATAACCAAACATGCCAGGGAGCAAAGGAAAACCCGTGGCCTGTCCATACCATGGCAAAGCCAACATCTGCTTTCTTCAAGGCTGGGCCATCGTTGGTCCCGTCCCCGGTCACGGCCACCACCTGCCTCTGGTCACCAACGGTGCTGTCGATAATTCCTGACAGGGGGACAAGCAGTGCAGAGAAATTAAACCCCAAGGACAGGCTCCCAGCCTGCATCATGCTGGAAAAGCACCCGGGAAGAGCAGGATGAGCTCACCTTTCACCAGAGTGTGCTTGTCAGTGGGGGAGGAGCGGGCGAGCACCCGCAGCTTGGGCCAGATCTTGTCCAGCTGTTCCTGTTCCACCTGCGGGACAAAACCAGGGGAGAAAGGGAAGTGATCCCTCTGGAATATTCTGCCCCACCAGAGAGCAAACTCCAGCTGGGACAGGACAGCACCTTCACCCCTAAGCACCCTCTGTTTGGCTGGGTGAGCATCCCAGCAGCTACAATTATCCAGGGAGAGGAGGGAATCCCACCGGGATTCAGGCCACCCACACCCTCTGCAGAGCAGTGCCCAGGGCTGTTCTCCCACCTCTCCCTTCTCATTGCGGATGAGCCGGTTGAACTCCTTCCCCTCCAGGCACAGGAAGTCCTCCCCTGGCAGCAGGATGCCACACTTGGTGGCGATGGCACGGGCAGTGTTGATGTTGTCCCCTGTCACCATCCGGACGGTGATCCCCGCACGCTGGCACTTCTGGATGGCATCTGGCACCTGGGGGACAAGGATAGAGTTCAGGGGGGGAACACAGGCAGGGTGCTCAGTTTGGCACTGGGTATCCCAGAGGAGCCAGGCTCCCTAAGAGGATGTGGAAAAGGGCTCTGGCGGGGTGAGGAACCTGCATCCACTGCCCCAGGGGGAAGGGAACCTCGCTGCCACCTCCCTGTCACACCACGGCACCGGGTGCCAAGGCATTGCCAGGCCACCATAAAAACAGGGGCATTTCCCCCCCCTTCCCACCCCACCCCAGCAGCACTAATGGGTTTATCCATTATGGAACGGTGGGGGAAGAGGATGTTAGTGAGGAATTAGCAAATTGAATCAAGGGCCTCCAGAGCCGGCGCAGACGGGGCATCTGTAATGCAATTCCCAGAGCCAGATACTTGGACATCTAATCAGGAAAAGATCCAGGCAAGGCAGGAGCATGGGGGCAAGCTCCAAATTGGAATGCAGAGGCAGGAATGGGGGGGTTATTGCATTAGCCCAGCTGCCAGCTTGGCACCCTCACAGTGGGGCAGCAGCTGAGAGGGGCAAACCAGCTCCACCAGCCCTGTCCTTCTCCAACACCCTCATCCCTCCTCCGTGGTGTTTCCATCCACCTTTCACCCATGTGGAACCAGCCTGGCTTGTGCACAGACCTCTGGAGCAGTTGGGGTGGAAAGTTTGGGTGGAAACACCCCGTCACCAGGTCATTTTGTCCAGGGGTGGGAGAGAAACACCAGCAGCAGTGAGCTGGTGGTGTGGGGCACTCCAGGGATGGACACAGAGGAGGTGCCTGGGCTTCCTAAGGGGTTTGTGGTCCTGAGCAGCTGGGAAAGGGGTCCCTGGTCCTGGAATGGTGCAGGACAGCTGGGGCAGAGCGGGGTCAGTACCTCTGGCCGCACAGGGTCCTCGATGCCCACCACAGCAATGCAGGTCAGGTCAGACAGGATCTCATTCTCGCTGTCCCAGTCGGGCTCAGCGTCCCCAGGGAAGTCCCGGAACGCCAGGCAGATGGTCCTCAGCCCGTGGCAGGCCATGGGCTCTATCACCTTCTTCACCATCTCGTCCCGGTCCTTCACCTTGAACACCCGGGGGTCGCCATTCTTGTCCAGGATCTTGGTGCACCTGAGGACCGGGAGGAGGGCGAGGGTCACCACTGGTGGCACGTCCCCGTGTCACCCCCACCTGCAAAACGGGGGCATCCCCCCGACCCACAGCTCCCCCCAGCTTTCCCAAAGCCACCCAGAACCAGTTAAACCCTCTGCAGGGCAGCACCTCCCGAGAGTCACCTCCCCTCCCCACCCCTCACCCCGCAGCCCCCCCCAACAGCTCCCCGGGGCAGCGAGAGCCCGAATCCCCCGGGATGGGGCGAGGGGGGACAGTTACTTGCGGAGGATGATCTCGGAGGCGCCCTTGCTGTACATGCGGAAGCCGCCGTTGCTGTTCTTCAGCACCGTGCTCATGGACTTGCGCACGGAGTTGAAGGTGTAGACCTTGTAGAGCTTCTCCTCGGGCACCTCGTTGCGCACGGCCTGGTAATCCTGCTTCAGGTCCAGCACGAAGCCCAGCAGGGCACACTCCGTCTTGTTCCCCACCTGCCGGGGCAGCCCCCCTTCCTTCTCGGGCGGCTGGAGAGGGGAAAGGAAGGGAAAAAGCGATGCCAAACCTGGGGACGGAGCTGCAGAGGACACACGGGGTGGTGTTTCTCCAGCTCACCAGGATCTTGGACGTGTAGGCCGAGTTGATGGCGACGCCGTGGACGATGAGGTCCAGGATTTTGGGCAGGATGGCTTCAGGGTCGGGGATCTGGCGGTAGTGGGTGTCCCCCACGTAGGCCTGCACCACGGTCATGCGGTTCATGGTCAGCGTGCCCGTCTTGTCCGAGCAGATGGCCGTGGCGTTGCCCATGGTCTCGCACGCGTCCAAGTGCCTCACGAGGTTGTTGTCCTTCATCATTTTCTGCAACGGGCACCCACGAGCGGGAGGGTCAGAGCCGGCAGCCCGAGTTCCCCCGTCGCACCCCCAGCAACCCCGCGGCGCCGCGGCCTCACCTTCACGGAGTAGGCCAGGGAGATGGTGACGGCCAGCGGGAGCCCCTCGGGCACGGCCACCACCAGCACGGTGACCCCGATGATGAAGAACTTGACGAAGTACTGGATGTAGATGGGGGTGCACTCGGCCAGCCAGGGCCGCTTCTGCACCCCGAACGTGTCGATCACGAAGTACAGCACCAGGATGATGACGGTGATGGCTGACATGATCAGCCCTGGGGACACACACGGGGCAGAGTGAGGGGATGCAGGGGACACAGGGGACAGGGACAGCCCTTCTCCACCAGCTCTGGGGTGGTGGCTCATGCCAGGCCATCACCACTCACCTGCCTTCCCGATCTGCACCGCCAGGCGCGTGAGCTTCCCTTGCAGCACAGACTTCTCCTTCTTGGGCACCTTCACCTTCTTCTTCTCTTTCTCCTCATTTTCCACCCCTTCCTGGCTCTTCAGGGGCTGAATTTCTAAGGCCACACCATCCTGAGTTTTAGCTACAGCCCAGGGGCAAAATAAGACACCACGTGTGAATAGGAGAGAGACCAGGAAACCCTGGAGGACACCACTGAGAAAGATGGTGGTGGGAGAGAGAGAGAGAAAACCCAGACCAAGAACCATTCCCGGCGACACACGCATCCGAGCACATGGAATCTCCGTGTCCCAGGGCCCTGCCACCTCTCTATGGGGCAGTTTTTTGTCATCTACCCCAGCCCATGGATAAGGGATCCTCAGAGGTGACACTGGCACTGGTCACAACTGTAAGGCAGCGCTGCAAGAAACCCTCTGGCCAAGTTTTGGGGTGGAGACTGGATTCATCCAGCCTCTAACCCTGCAGCAGACTGGGAGCGCTTTGGGCTGACCCCAGAGATGCTCCAGTCCCCCCAATCCCTTGATGATCATCCCACTCCCTCCCAGTGCCACCTCTGCAGTGCCCTGTGGGCAGCTCAGCAGGAATCACTCGCCAGGGAAGTGACTGAGGGGGTGAGATGGAGGGGACGGTTAGAAATCGGATGGAGATTGAAGAGGAGGGAGCCAGCTCCTTGAATCCCAGCCCTGAGCCATCCACCACACGTTTAGGACCCGAGACAGCCAGGCTTCCTGTGCCTACGATTGCTCTAGTCCAGCTGAAAGTCTGCACTGGGGAAACCCAAGTCTGGAAGCTTTGGAGAGGGATGGGGAAGAGGGTGGGAATCCCCCTGAGAGGCTCCTCCTCAGCTGTTGGAGCTGGAGGAGCAGCAGTGGCCCCATTGCTGCCCCGGGACCTGTCCCCTCCTGGCTGCTGCTGCTCGATGGCTCGAGACACCCCGGAGCTCACGGCAGCTCCACATCGGACACCTCCACGTCACAACAGACCCCACACGGACAGAACAAGCACCCGGACACAGTCTGACGGGAAGGAGGGAAACTCAAACTGCTGAGAGGAGAGAGAGAGAGAGAGAGAGAGAGAGAGGTGGAGAGAGGTGCAGAAATGGGCTTCCTCCACAGCCTGCAAAGAACAGTGTGAGAAACACTGGTGAGGAGACGCTCACGGAGTCGAGGCCATGGGAGGAGAGGGTGCAACCATCACGTTGGCCAGGCCCCGTGGGATATTTCACCTGGGAACACCAGGAAGGGACCTACATCTCTCCCCCAGTCAAACACAAATCCTGGGAAGGGACAGCATCTGATGGGCCCAGGGGCTTCAGAGCCATCAAATCACTGAAGCAGCTCAAGGATGAAGTTTGTCCCGAGAAAGGGATGCTCTGCCAAAGGTCCAGGCTGCTGGAAGAGCCCTCTCCTCCCTGCACAAGGGCTTTTCCCCATGCAGGGACAATGTGGCCATGGGGGGAGCTGGTCAGGTTCATCCCAGGGTGCACAGCCCCACACTGGGGTGCCAGGGGCCACCACGATGCCGTGCCAGGGCCACCGGCCACGGGACCATTGCACCCTCTCCCAGGACAACGAGGCGAGAGTCCCGCCGGAGCAGCAAAGAGCACAGACTGATGAGAAGAAGGAAGGAAGGAAGGAAAGAGGAATGCTCAGTAGTTAGTGTGGTGCTGGTTCAAAGGATGGAGAGGCTGGTTACCTTTGTTGCGGTTTTCGGGGGCTCCGCTTTTTTTACCTGTTCAAAGAGAGAAAGGGTGGGGGGCTCAGCACGTGGACCCACACTCACCACCCGGCTGGGGGGACAGCCTGGGATGGGCCCTGCTCCGAGGGGCCGCTCCAGTGGCATCCGTGCCCTGGGCTCAGAGCCCACGGTCACCCTCCGGACACCGCGCGTGCCTCGGTCCACAGCTCACGGCCCTGGGGAGGCTCCGGAGCCCCCCGGCTCCCCCAGGCACCCCAAACCTCAGACCCCCAAGGCCTCAGACTTCCCCACCTGCAGAGCACCCACCACAACCCCCATCAGTGCCTCGGAGGGTGCCAGAGGTGCCTCAGACCATTGAGGAGAAGAAACCCCCCAGCAGAGTTTGACCCCCCGCAGCTCCAGGTCCCCTCCTGTGCTGGGTGCAGGCAGATCCACATGGGAGGCGTCGATTTGTCTCCCACCACAGGCAGCACCAGTCCCACAGTGGGCGGTTCTGACCCCAGGGTCTGTGGTGAGCAAGGTGTGCACGTGGGGGTCCCCAGTGGGGAGCACAGGGTGGCTGCAGCTGAACAAGCCTCGAGTGACAAGGGTTTTGTCCCCCCCATCATCCCCCAGTTCCACAGCGGGGACCCCCTGGCCCACTCTGCTCCCAAATCCAGGTTTGCTGTGGGGCTGAGTGACAGAGCTTGAAGGCTGGGAAAGCACCAAGCATCACTGCCCAGGTGCCCAGTGAGCTGCTGCTCAGCTCCCACAGCAGTGCCATGCCCGTGTCACCTCCTCCTCCCACCTCCAGGCTGGCACCTGAGCCCCAGGAGCTCCACAGCCCCCGAAGACCGGTGATCCGAGCGATCCGAGCTGGAGGAACCCAGCACACACAAGCCCAGAGCTGGAACGGCTGCCAGGAGAGCCCGGGAAGCCTCTCCCTGCCTGGCATCGCCTCCTGGGAAGGGCTCCCTGGCACAGGGACGCCTGAGCAGCCGGCAGTGCCAGCCAGCAGCTCCCTCCTGCCAGCTCCTTCTACCTCATGGCGGCTCCTGGTGAGCCCAAACCTGCTGAGCAGGGACTCAGGGACATGGGAGAACAGGAGCTTCCCAAGCCAGGCTGGTCCCAGTGCTGGTACTGGAGCTGGCACAGAGCAGGGCAATAAGCAGCAGGAAAGCATCAGGAACACCATCAGGAACACCTCAGCCTGCCTGGCTGCTCTCCCACCCCAGCACACAACCCCTCCTCTCCCTCCTGCCATCCTCTGCCTCATCTCCTTCCCCAGGGAGCTCAGGGAATGCCAGCAGAGATCCTAAGCCAAGTCCTCAAGGTTCTGGATGGGCCACCAACGCCCTGTGGGCAACCAGGACTCACCTTCCCCAGCAAGGAGCACCGTGGGCAGCACTACCAGCCACCCTTCCCTCTGATCCTCAATCCCCCAGCCCACAGCTCCACAGCCTGGATCCAACTGGGGATGAGAGAGCTGGAGCCATGTCCAAAAGAGCCAGGGAGCAGAGCCTGGGTGCACAGGGCCTTTCCTCAGGCAGCACCAGCCCCACACTGTGGGTGAAGGGGCACAGGGAGGGAACCCCCCACCTCAAGAGCTCACCATACGTGCCCAGGCCACGGGCACTGACACACAACTGCAGCCCACGGGTGTGGGAGCTGCTTGTGGCACACTGGTGGTACTTCCCAGGGAAGGGAGAGAGGCCAAAGGAGGGAAAAGGCGGGTTCAGGGGATCTCCTTACCTTTCTTCACTTTCTTCTCCTCATCTCCTTCTCCCGCGCCCAAGAGAGTGAAGATGATTCCTGTCTGGGAGTTGATACCCACGGCAGTCACCACCATCCTGCCAGAGCCCTCCATCACGTGGGTACCTGGCACAGCAGGAAGGTCACAGTGAGACAGGTGGGACAGCAGTTTCCATCTCACACAATCACAGGATGGTTTGGGTTGGAAGGGACCTGAAAGCTCATCCCGTTCCACCCCCTGCCATGGGCAGGGACACCTCTCACTAGACCAGGCTGCTCCAAGCTCCATCCAACCTGGCCTGGGACACCTCCCCAACATCAGGACCCAAGACCAACCATCTCTCCATCCCACCCCTGCACCCACCCCACAGGGACCCTCACCTGAGAGCAGCATGGGGTCTTTGTCCATGGATTTCTTGACTTGGTCTGACTCCCCTGTCAGCGAGCTCTCATCTATTTTCAGGTCATTGCCCTGGATCAGGATCCCGTCTGCTGGCAAGAGATCACCTGGGACAGGAGCACAGAGGGGGATCAGCCTGGTCTGGGCAGCCACTGCTCACCCCTGACTGCCTCACCCCGTGAGGAGGCTTCAAAAGGACTCAAAACTCAGCCCCAGACAAAATCTAGAGGGAGAAGATGCAGCAGGACCCAAAACTCAATCTCAGACCAAATCTAGAGGGAGGAGAAGTAGCAGATGGTTTTTTTAAGACAGACAGGTACAATAAGACGATATCCAATAGCTCCAAAACCCTCACTGATGCATGGAAAGATGAGAATTTTATTCAATCAGACAGTGCTTCCCCATCCAGTTTTAATAAATCAACACCAGATCCTTCCTGAAGCTCCTGACACATCCAAACCATTACAGGATCCCACCTTCCAACCTCCGAGGGGGGAAAAAACCCCATAGGAAAACAAACTTGATGTTGGATCAGTCTCCTTCCTGACAGAATCTGCATGGGGTGAATATTCCCCCTGGTAAACAAGGAGCAGGACCCAATTTATCCCAAAGGCTGCATCTCCCTGCTAAGGAAATATTCACGAGCATCTCCTGGCTAAGGAAATGTTCACCAACAAGGACATGGTCGGGAAAACGAATCATTTTTGAGAACAGCAGGTCACTAAAGCAGCCCAGAGCTGTGCACAGAGCCTGGCTTAGCTCTGCCAGCCCAAGTCCAGGTTGGCCAGAGACAAAGTGAGTGGAAGCTCCAGGGAGCATCTCCCATCACCACAGGGCTTTGAGAGAAAGGAGGAGCCAACACTTCCCCTCAGGGCTGGAGGAGGAATTGCTGGGCTCCTGAGGGGGAGGACACACCCCAGCCACCCCCGAGGGGCAGGGCAGACCCCTCACTCACCGTACTTGATCTGCGCGATGTCTCCCACCACGATCTCGGCCACCGGGATCTGGATCACCTGCCCCTTGCGGATCACCGTGAACTTCTGCTCCTGCTCGATGCGGCTCTGGAGGCCCCGGAACTGCTTCTCCTTGCTCCAGTCGTTGAAGGCGGTCACCAGCACCACGATGATCACGGAGAACAGGATGGCTGCCCCCTCGATCCAGCCGGCCTGCGCCTCGCCCTCGTCCTCCACGCCGCCCGTCGACTGCCCACACACTGCCCGGGGGAGAGCTCTCGTTTGCACACCCAGACGTGCTTGCACACCCAGGCACACTCATTGCACACCCAGGCACACTCACTTGCACACCCAGGTTAGGGTTAGGGTTAGGGTCTAGAATTAGGGTTAGGGTTAGGGTTTGGGTTAGGGTCTAGAATTAGGCAGAGTGTGTTAGGGTTAGGGTTAGGGTGAGGGTTTGGGGTTAGGGTTAGCGTTAGGGTTTCCACACCCAGGCACTGATTGCACATCCAGGCACTCTCATTTGCACACCCAGGCACTGATTGCACAACCAACACCCGCCTGGAGTTACGCTGAGCCTGGAAAACAGTTACTCCTCCCTCCTCCTCCCTGAGCTGCCTGGGCTTCCCCTGCTCTCAGGAGACGGTTTTTACATCCCTCGAGGAATTTGTTGGGTTTGCTTTTTCCCCCCCCCCCCCCTCTTTTATCACTTTTCCTTTTTGGCAGAAGTTGGGCTGAGCTGGGACAACTGGCTTCTATTTCCAGCTGCAGCACCCTGCCCTCCCTGCGCTGCGTGACCCTCGAGTGAGTCACATCTCCCTGTGTCTCACATCTCCCTGCATCTCCAGAGCCCTGTGCCTGCTCGACTCCTCCAACAACACCAAGATCCAGGGCCAGGAGGAGAAACCTGCCCAGCACAGTCCTCAGCCACCCATGGGGTGTCACAGCACTCCCTGGGCAGGGGGACATACCAGGGGACAGATGGCATTGTCCCTCCTTCCCCAAAGCAAAAAAGAAGCCCTGTGGGATGTGGGAAGCCACTGGATCAGATGGGCCCATTGGATTTGGAGTATCTTTTGGGGAGCAGCAAGGAGCAGCTCTGAGCCCGTGGTGCCCAGACATCAGTGCAGGTCCCTGGGGAGGCACACGCCAAAGACCCCGAGGATGGGGAGATGCCACCACCTAAAAAGGGTGAGCAGATGTAGCTCTATTTGCATGACCTGCCAGACATCACTTGTCCCAAATCCCTGCTCCCACAGGGCTGGGCACGGCGGCTCCCGGGAGTCCCCCACCAAAGCACAGGGACCCCACAGGGCACTCACGTTCATTGTCCCCACCCGGGGGGTGGTAGAAGGACAGGCCCAAGGAGATTATGGCTGCGATTTCCAAGATGATCAGCGTGACGTCCTGGAGTGCCTCCCACACTAACTGCAGGAACGTCTTGGCCTTTTTGGGAGGGATGAAGTTCTGGCCGAAGACCTGCCGCCTCTTCTCCAGGTCGGTCGGGTTCCCGGACAGGCCTGGAGGGGGGAGAGACAGGGATGAGGGTAAACCCCACGGCTGCCCCACAGCCCCCCAGCAGCACCAGTGCCAGCACGGGGGGCACGAGGTGCCAGCAGCAGGGAGCCAAGGCAGAGCTTTGCCCCTGTCACCCACGGGGGCAGGGGACACGCGGGGGCCGGGGCGAGCACGCCCAGCCACCCTCCCAGTGCTGCAGCCTCAAGTGCCAGCCGATGCCAGTTGGCACTGGCCAGCTTGTTTACATGCTGCATCAAATTAGCCGTAAATCTGGCACCGGGAGCAGCGCTCGGAGCCGCCGGAGCCGCCGGAGCCACCTGATCCCTGTGTCCTGCCAGCTCCGAGGAGCAGCGGCTGCGGAGAGCGAGCGGGCACAGCAGGAGTGTCTCCGAGCTCAGCTCAGCCCCACGGCCACGCCACGGCCACAGCCAAGCTGGTCCTGCCACAGCTGGTGGAGGAGACACGGGCTGGTCCCGCTGGAATGGGGTGGTGGGAGAGAGGGAAGGAGCAGGCCAGCCCCGAGCTGGGGTGCTGCTCCCCACGGCTGGGAGCAACCCCTGGGAGAGGGGGGGAGCAGATGAGGGCAAAAGGGGAGCAAATGGGGAGCAAAAGGGGAGCCTGAGCCCCTTCAGAGCCCTCCCACCCAGGCCACGAGCCAGTGGTGGGAGACACAACGTGCCCTGGCTGCCCCCCATTACAGCCACTAAGAGCTGATGGGGTCCCAGGTGAGAGAAGCCCTCCTGCCCAGCACCACCTTAACCGAGCCCCCCATTTCTCCTCCACCTTAAGATGGCCCGTGGGGTTGCTGCCAGCTCCCGGGATGCACCGGGAAGCGGCGTAAGTGGCCCTGGACACATCCCGGTGCCTGGAGCAGCCTGGCAGCGATGCCCCCCCTCCAGGGGGACCCAGCCCTTGCATTCAGGGGACACCTCCCCGCCAGCTCCGTGGCATTCCAGGGGACACCTCCCTGCCAACTCCGTGTCATCCCAGGGGACACCCTCCCCGCCAGCTCCGTGTCATTCCAACCAGGAGGAAGCAGCAGGACGAATCCCGTTCCCACACCCCCCCTGCACCCCCCCTTTGTGCTGCGACTCCACCCCAGCTGCAGGGAGGGGACGTGCTGGCAGAGCGGCCCCGGCGTCCCCACCCAGCCCTGACGAGGCAGCAGGATCCTGGGATCTCCCGGCCCCAATTCCCGCCCAGCGTCTCCGGCGGAACGGATGGAAAATGTGGCTAAACTGCCGTGGAGCCAGGGCTGTGCCACGGGCACGCACGTGCTGCTCCATCAGCACACGGGAGGCTGCAGATTTTGGGTCCTCCAAAGCACATCCCACCCACGGGCCTGACCCCAGGGCTGCCACCCACCCTCCTGGGGGTCAATGTCTGTGCTGACACAGGGAAGGTGGCAAAGAGCAGCAGCCACGGGCATGTGCCACTGCTCTGGGGTACCAGCAAATCCCCCTGCAGGGCCTGAGGGTCCAGTTATTGGGTGCTGAGTTGGAAATTTTGGGTAGAGGCCACAAGTGACAGCAGAGAACAAACCCCCATAGTGGTCACCAGTCCCTGATTATCCCAGGAAAGTTGCTGTTGGGTGGCAAAGCCTTGGCACAAGGAGCCCCCACGCAGGATCCTCACCCTGGATCGGGAAGGAGGCGGCAGCCCCGGGAGCTGCTCCTGCCAGCAGGTGAGTCAGTGCTGGCACTGGGCACCCAGGGGACACCGGGGACGCTCCACGGGTGACTCACTGAGCCACCACCCCGCTGGGGGACAGGGGGATGTGGAGGTGGAAAGCCAGTGCCTGGCAGAGGGACACCCCACTCCATCCCAAAGCCCCTCCGGGAGCAGCCCCAAGGGATTGGGGTGCACTGACAGCTCTTGGGGGAGAGCCAGAGTCCCAGCAGATCCCAGCAGATCCCCATCCCGATGCTGGGGAGACCCTCACTGCACAAACAGTCACGTGTGGGGGTCCCACCCTATGAGGATGGACAACCCAAGGGCCTCTCGGGGTGCAGGCAGGTTCTGGGGGGACCATGGTCACCATCTGCCCCACAGGGATGGTGCCAGGCTGGAGTGGGCACTGCCAGCAGCATGGAGAGTGGCACTGAGGGGCAAGAGTCACACAGATCCAGGTGGGATCAAACTGCTCCAGACACTGCCCACCACAGGCTGATGGAGGCAGGGGGGGGGGGGGGCGGGGGGGCGGGGGGGACACCCCGGGCAGGCTCTGCTGTGCCAGCAGCTTCCTCTGGTGACACACAGAGAGAGGACACAGCCCTGCACTCCCTGCCCAGAGCTCTGTGCCAGCGGGGTGAGGAGCAGAGGGATGATGAGCACGAGGATGGGCACAAACATCCACACAGGGAGTTGGGACATGCACCCAGTGTCCCCACTCCCATGGGATCAGACAGAGCTGCCTTAGGCTTTTGCTTTTCCCAAAAATCCCAGCTTGTTGGAAATAACCTTTCTGTGCTCTCTGGGCTCAACAGGACGGGGTTGAGCTTCATAGCAAGAGGGTGAGGGAGGGATGTGCTGGGGGCATGAGATCCAGCACTGACAACCAGTGGCACCCAGGATGGAAGGGCAGCCCTTCGCCTCCCCACAAAGAGCCTTTGGGGTCTGCTTCTCCCCTCCCCTCTCCTCCCGCCCCCAAAGGAGCGTGTTCCCACTTTGGCAGGACCGAACACATTGTTTTGTGACCTGGACTTGGTATTTCCACCGGGACTCCCCCCCCTTCTCTAATGACATCCCGATATTGTCTCCCCTTCCCGGTCCCACTCACAGCTGGAAACGCACTAATCCCCACCTTTCGGCACTAAGAATAACCCACAAGTTTTCAGAGCTGAGGCGCAGCCACGTCCCCCACCCCACAGCCACCGAGGGGCCACATCCTGCTCCCAGTTCCAGGTAAACCCTCGGGGCTGTAATCAGGGGGTCTCTCACCCCAGTACCCCTTTAATGCCAGGGAAGGGGTCCATCACCACGCAGAGGCACCCACAGCTCCCCAGAGCCAGCAGCCTCATTGATAAGGGAGACCCCAAAAGCCAGCTCAGCCCGTGGGAAGGAGAGGTGACATCCTGATATCCTTCCACAAAGCCTCCCAGAGGTGACCTGGCACCCACAGGCATCACTGCCACCACCACTCCAAACTGTGATCCCCTCAGATCAGGGGTGACCTGGGTGCCTCTCCCCATCCCCCTGGGGGACGTGCTGCCCATCCCTCATCTGAGATGCCTCAAACAGCTCCAGCCACCTCCCCAGCACCACCCAACCTTTACACTCTCCCTCCCACCCTCCCACTGGCTCTGTAAATTATTAAATGGGAAAGGCTGGCACAGGGCAGCGGCCAGGCTGTGGTGATGAGCCCCCCGTGCCCCTCTGATAGCCCTGAGCTCATCCTGCCTCCACTCCATCCTCCCAGGGGACGTGGGGCTCCAGGGAACCCCCTGGCATGATGCTTCTCTTTCTTCTCCCTCCTTTCCTGCCCTAAATGACCATTTTACGAGACGTGGGGAGCGTCTCACGCGATGGACAGCGGGTGCGACAGCACTGGCTGAGCTTGGCCACAGGACACGCCTTGGAGCCACCACCCTCCAGCCCAGAGGTGACAACCCCACCTGGCAAGGCCAACGGGGCGGCCACTCACCTTCGACGGGCGACGTCTTGAGCCTCTTGCAGACGTTCTGCACGCCGCCGTAGGAGTCGTTGAGCCGGGCCACCGCCTCGGCGCTCCGCAGCTCCATGAGGTTCCTGAGCTCCACCATGGAGCACCCGAAGTCCCCCTCATGGTTGCCTTCGGCGACCGAGTTCCCGGGGTGGTGGTCGGCCACGTTGTTCGTCATGGTGCCGGTGATGCCGACGCCGGCTCGCGGCTCCCTCGAGGGTCCGGCGGCGGGAGTGGGGGGGACACACGCTCCGTGCGGCCCCTTCCCTGGGGGAGCAGGTGCCTCTAACCGAGCCCAACTTCTCCGGATAGAGGTGTAAACAGGATGTGCATGTTACCGCGGAGGCGACCTTAGCAACGACCAGCGTGCATCTCCTGCAGAAGGAGGAGGGCTCCCTGGATACCACAGCAACTGGAGCTGCGAAAACAAGGGATGGGGGGAAACAGAAACACCGGCGTGAAGGGAGGCCCAAGGACCAGTGCACGGGGTGGGAGAGTGGGGGCGGTGGCACCCCGGGCTGGGCGCCTGCCAGGGGTAATGTGGTTTCATCACGATTTTGACCCGAAAGCCCGGGGGTGAGGAGCTGGCCTGGGAGGGAGCTGGCAGGCTCGGCGCGGACACGCCACGGGGAAAACCGGCAGCGGCAGCTCCGGGGCCGGGCAGGAAGGGCGCCCAGGTGGTTCTTCACTCAAACCCAGCTGCCCGGCCCAGAAAAATGTCCCATTCACTCTGGGTTAAAAATACACCTCGGCAGTGGAAAACAGCTGCTTCCTGCGCGGGCAGGCGCTGGGGCTGGAGCGCCGCCCTCCACCCTGCCAGCAGGTAAGGGAGCATCCCACACCCATGGAGAGGGGCTCGCTGCACCCAGCAGGCTTTGAACCACCTGAGAGACACCGCAGGGACCAGGGAAGCCACTAAAATCTGTGAGTTCCTCTAAAACAGAGGCTTTTCCATCAATGACCCTCTCAAGAGAAGCCCTCGAAGGCAGCGAGTGGTTCTTGGCCTTGGCTCTCAGCACCTGTCAGCCAGGTTACAACCCCCCAGCCCTGCCAGAGAGGACAGAGGAGTCCCAAAAATGCCTGAACCAAGCGCTGTGGCCAGGCAGGCACAGCATCCAGTGGCTCCCACGTTCCCCAGGGATCTGGGGTCCCCCGCTGGCATTCCAGACAGAGAGGATGGGGGCTAGGGACAAATAGGGACATGGAGAGAGCAGGCAGAGCAGCACAGGCCAGAGGGGAAAAGTGCTGTTTGTCACCCAGGGTGCCCTCCAGCTCTGTACCCAAGCTCCAGTGCCAGCAGCGATGCTCCCGGCACTCCAGAGGCAAAGAGCCTGCAAGGGAGGCTCTTATGCAGAGAAAATGAAGTCTTTCCTAGAGCAGTATAAATGAATAACAAAAGGAGTGGCCACTACAGCAGCAGCAGCAGCCTGAGACAGGGTCAGGAGGTGGCAGAGCAAGTGAACAGGGAAGAAAAGCAGCCAGACAAGAACGGGAGGAAGGTGGAAGGACACCTATCGCTGCTTCTCAGGGGCACACGGGATGCACCAGCCCTCACAAACCCAACAGGCAGGCACCACACCACCCTGGGGCTGTCCCAGCTCACCCCACAGCACGGGACCCCAACTGCAGTCACACCAGAGCTCAGAGAGCAAACCCCTCCCTGCCTGGCCCCTGGGAGCAGCTCCCTGACAGCAACACCCAGGGCAGCTCTGGGCATTATCAGGACAGAACAGGCACCAACTGAACCCCAGGGACACCAGTGATTCCACTGCACAGGAGGGTCCTGTCCAACAGCTGCAGGCACTGAAGGGATTGGGAGCACAAGGAGCTCAGGGATGGGGAGCACTGGAGCTCCCGGGACACCCAAACCTGCACCCTTGGGGCAGAGCATTGCTGCTGCCCCATAAAGCAGAGATCAACTCCAGCACTCCCACCCCAGCATCCCTGCCCATTCCCAGCCTGGTTACCCCACAGCTCCTCGTGGAGCTGAGCTCATCCATCATTTAAAGGCGTGCTGGCTCCCAGCAGCGGGAAGCAGGAGGTGGCAGGCCCAATTAAGCAGACTCCTGCTGATTAAGAGAAAAAAAGATAATTCCCTCACCCCAACACGCTAATTTTTTCCTCTTTCGTAGCAACAGACGTTGTCTGAGGAGAGCTCAGAGGTTAAGAGAAAGACGGTTAATTAATCCTGTAACAGCCTAGTCCATAATTACCCCTGGAGGAGCTCACGGCACCAGCCCGTGTCCCACCCAAGGCTCCGGCCCGGGACTGGTTCTGCCCGTCAGGAAAGGAGGGGCTGTGGTGGGGGAAAGACTCCTGTGTCTGCTCTGAGCACCCTCCTCCAGCCCATCCGGGGTCACAGACCCATTCCTGGCCTGTCTCTGCCCCATCCCACCAGTCCAGCACAGGCTCCTGCATTCCTTGGCCAAACTGGGAAGGATCGGTCCAGAGAGCTGCACTCAGGCTTCCCTAAGAGCTATCATCCTAACGAGCTCCTAATGACTCCAGCAGCGTTCAGCAGGCTGCCCTTCACTCCAATAATTCACTTCCAGAGCCCCCAGGCACTGGAGAGGAACAAGTGCTCCCCGAGGGCCTCCTTGGGAAGAAAACAAGGAGCGGGAGCCCGGGAGCCCGAGCGCCCTGTGCGGACACGGGACCACCCCTGGAGCCGCCACCGGAGCTGTGTCAGCTCCCAAACGACATCCCTGGGCAGGACAAGGGCTGCTGTGGAGTTTGGGATGGGGGACACTGACTGTCTGGAGCCACGGGCCGGGGTGTGGGTTGGGGCAGGCAGGTGCTCCGGGCAGGAGGGAGCGGCTGGCGAGGAGCGGCGGAGCCGGAGCCGATGCCGGAGCCGATGCCGTGCTGCAGGCGAACCTGCCCGGAATAATAAACGGCTGCACGACACCTCCGTCCTGGCAGGGAGAGCAGCCACGGCCAGAGCCGGCACCAGAGCATCCCCCGTGCCCACCCCGGCCCCTGGCACAGCGAAAGGGACCTGCTGGCACAGGGAAAGGGACCCACTGGCTTTTAAGCTCGGGAAGAGGAAAGTGCTCGGAGAGGGACAGGAATAATTAAATCAGCTGGACGTGCCACACGTGATGCCTTCAGCCAAGCCACGAGTGGCCTCGCTGCGACACCGGTGGCACCAGGAGCTGGCACATGCCAGCAGCAGCCACCACTGGGTCCCTGGGCAAGGCCACGGATCCTCCTGGCTCAGCACATCAGAGCAGACCCCGGCACTGCTCTGTCCTCCCTGCAGATGACCAGAGACAGAGCAAGCCCTGACCAAACTCAGCTGTTGTTTTCCTTTATCCATGAATGAGGATGAAATCCCTGCCCCAGCTCAGCTCCCCTCCAGCCTGAACATCCCCCACCATCCAGGGCAGAAAGCACCGTGCTGAGGAAGAGCAAGAGCAGCCACCACATCCCCTGCCCAGAGCCACGAACCCCGGCTTGGACAAGCAGGATCAGGTCCATAAACAAACCTCAGGTCATGTGGATCACGGTGGATCACCTTCCCCAAGCACCTGCCCCCTGCCACCAGCACCCCAGCCCCACACACTGCCCTTCAGCAGCACCCACTGGGGTTCATCTCCTCTCCCACTTTGGGAATGGGGTGTTGGAAACACTTGGCTGCTGTAGGTTGCCATGGCAAACTCAATGTAAAGCTGTCAGGGATGCTGTTTATGTTGCCAAGTGGGGATGGAAAGAAAAAAAACCTCAACTCCCCCAAAATTACCCTTCTTGGCTCGGGTTTAAGATTTTTCTCTTTGGGAATTAAAAAAGCTGAGCTGCATCCCCAGTGGAATGAGAGAGGCTGCATTGAGCCCCAGAGCACAGAGCATAGACAGACCTACTCTCCAGATGGACACATGGGTTCCAAAAGCCAAAACAGCCAATTAAAGCAGAAAAACAGGCCTAAACCACCTTTCCCTGCCTGCTCCCTGGGATATGTCCCAGGAGAAACTGCACAGCTCCTCTGGCTCACCTTCCCACCTCCTGGACCCCACCAGCACTCAGCACCCACCGTGGGCTGTTGGGAGCCACAGTCCCACGTGGGAGCAAGGCTGGAAGGCAAAAAGCTGCTGGAATGGCTGCATCTGCTGAGAGCATCACTGGGAGAGACACGTTAGGTGCTGTCATCAGGGGAAGGTGTCTGGGGAGGGGAAGAGACCCCTGTTGCAGCAGGGAGGGACATGCCAGGGGACGTGTGGGGGTTCCTGCACTGGGGGGGCTGCGCTGGCACAGCACACCTGTGGGGTTTCAACAGGTGAAAACCTCGGACATGCTGCCCTCAAAGGTGTGGGGGGCATGGGGAGGGCACGGGGAGGGCATGACCCCCACACCCCCAGTGCCCGCTGGGGCTGAGTCAGGTCCATCTCCCACGGTGGAGGGACACGTGGAGCAGATGGTCAGACCACAGCAACACCAACTCCTGGGGGATTTTGAGGGCCCCCCACCTCCCACCTGGTCCCTCAGCGGAGTCCCCACCTCTCCCCGGGAAACAGGGGGGCCCCAGCACCCCAGGGGCCAGGGCAGGGCCCCTCCCCTGCACACTCACCAAATTGCAATGTGCAGATGGCAGCTTCTCCTCCTGCCTGTTCCCAGCAACACCCCTGGCAAGGGAAGCCTTCTCTCCTTAACCCTTCCCATGCCAGGCGCCCCAGGAGGGCACCCAGAGGGGACACCGGGGTGTTGTCACCTCCCGCGGTGGCAGGAGCCAACAGAGCGACTCACCGTGACAAACCACATGATCTGCAGGGGCAGGGCTGGCTCCAGGGGCGCGGGGGCCACCCCAGGCAGGATTGCCACCCTCGGGCCCAAGGGCTTCCCCGGCAGCCACCAAGGGAGGAGGTGCAGGATCGCAGAGGTCAGAGAGGGCAGCGAAGGTCACGGTGCCGGAAACTGGTCCTGCAGCCCAACACCCCCATGGCAAAGGCACGGGGGCACCAGGCCAGGCCAGAACACCCCGGACAGACCCCTGCAGGCACGAGTTCCACTCACAGCCCCCTGCCACAGCACAAGGCAGCGTGGGAGCAGGAGCTGTCCCCCCTTCCCCAGTCACGCCGGTGTCGCCCCTCCCTGCTCCTTCCTCTGGGCTCTGGGTGCCGAAACCAGGCAGGGTCCCCGGTCAGGGCTCCCCGGGGCAGCACCTGTGGCACCCACAGGACGTTCCCTCCTCCCACCACAGTATCCGCTTCCTCCGCCGGAGTGCGCCCGCCATGGGAGGGGACGGTGGCACTTCCCTCCCCAATGGGGCCACCCCGGCACCCGACAGCGGGAAACCCCCCAGTGACACCCGCCCCACACGTGGGACACGTGGGAAAACACAAGAGCCAAACGCCAGGGATGGGGCGCTGCAATAACTGCAAGAAGCCCTCGTTTTTCACTTGCAGTGCTGAGAGGGAAGAAGCT